CCATGGTTGAGACAACAACAAGAGATAAGGGACTGAGGATGCCGCTTCTGACAGAGACTTGGTGACACTCAGCTGAGGATTTTGTTCTCTTGCCTAAGAGAACTGTCAGGCTTCCTATCCAAAACTCCTCCTGCTTGGAAAGGGGCTGGTGTGAGCAGCAGGAATTGTTGTTGGCTGGAACATCTCAAAGAGCTGCACAAAAGAAGTGTTTTGTGGAAGGCCGCCAGCTGCCCTTTGTCAGCAGCACAAGGTGGGAAGGTCCCCTTTGAATGCCAGCCCTGCACAAGGACAGCCTTCTCCAGTAGCCACAACACCTTTCAGGCTTTCGGGCTGGCCTCGTCCCTCACTCTGGAGGAGCAGCTTGCTGTTGGAACTCCCACAGCCACAGTTTCTGCCTGCATTACCGTGTCTTCCCACAAACAGCCCCGGAGACAGCACTACATAGAGGCTCCTTGGAGTCAGAGGCACAGAGTGTGTGCCCTTCCCTTTGATCCCTGGCTCTGACATCCAAGAAAGCACTGCATTTCATAGAACACCATGAAAACAACTGTTACAGTTCAATAGAAGAACTAGGAGTGCAAGTGTGGAAATTAGAAAGTTTTCTTAAGTCACTGGGTGAGAAAAATAAACTTGAAGGTTGAAGCTAGTTTAAGAAAGAAGAGGCAAGATGGAGGAATTAGGGCGTTGTCTCCTTTGCCTTCTTCATCTCCTTCTTCATCTTCTTCTTCTAGAGGTTTTTGGGTAGTAGTAAGTGATTGCATAAGGAATGCTGCAGTGCAGTGAGCAGGTGTTGGGTCATTGGGTCACTAAGAAAAATAACTGACTTGGCGTTTGTTAATTGGGTAAATGGACACATAAAAAACCTTGAAAATCTTTGTTAGCCATTTGGCACCTTTCTATATCTTAGTGCACGTAGCTCCTTGTACCTTGTATGCATGTAATGCAGATAAAAGAAGAATAAACAACCGAGTCCAAACAAGAGAAAACTGCCTCTCTCTCATCAATCTCAGTCCAAGGGGGAAAAAGAAGCCAAGCACAAGTGTCCCATCAGGACAGAGGCTCAATCTCCAATCAAAGGGGACTTTGTTCCAGCTTTTCCCTTGGAGCAGCGTGCAGCAAGCACACCTGGGCCTCATTCAGGTCTCTGTGTGGGCTGGCAGGCAGCTTCTGTTGGGAATTTAAAGCTTTTCCTCTACTTTCCACAGCAAATAACGGACCTCACCCAGCTGCACCAAACCCCAAATTTCACTCTAAAAAGAACCATTTGCATTTTCCTCCATTCCAGCCCTGAAGAAAACAAACTTCACTTGCGGGAGCTGGCGGCACGGTGTCCTCCAAGCCCGTTCATGAGTAGGACAATATTGCAGGGGAAGAGCGGCAAAGCCAAAGTTCACTGATGCTTAGGAAGCTTTGCAAAACCTTCCCACCTGTGCTGGTGTTGCACCCTCCTGAGCTCCTGGAGCCCTCACTCACCTCAGGCGCAGTTTGGACAGCAAGGGGATGGTTCAGTTTGTGCCATGTGGGGACAGCAGGAGGGAAGACTTTGCACACACTGTCACCAGGGCAGGGCTCTTTTCCTTTATGGTGCCACGCGGTAGCACACAATCTTTGATTTCATGGGAGTGAGGGAGGTGCTGAAGGGCAAAAATTCCCTGTGGGAAGGACATCTTCCACTCACACAGCAAGGCAAGTGAAGGGAAAAGTGCAATCTCTCTTTCCTGGAAGGTGTTCAGCTTTGAACAAACTAGTTTTGCTGAAGATGAGCCTAGGCAGTGGTGAGTTAGAGCATTTGATCAAACTCCCAGAGTATCCTCACATCTGTTTGGACACAATTTCTCTTTTTTTTTTCATTGTGAATGCTTTCTCCTGCCCCGCTGCCTCCTGCTTGGAGTTGTACGTGCAGCAGAGTCCCAGAGTTTTCTCAGCAGGCCTGTGCAGCGAGTTCTGAGCCAACGTGTGGCTCTGCTGCCATCCCAAATCTGCGCTTTCCTTGCCCAGCCTGAGCGCAAGTGGGGCATGTGCTGGGCGTGGCTGGAGATTTTCATCCCCAAAATCCTCCAGCGTCATGGCATTTCCATCTGCCCATTGCTTTGGAGAGCACAAATCACAAACCACCCATCTCAGCTGATAAATGTCATTGCTTGCAGATTGCTGCAGCCGCACAGCTGAGCTACAAATACACATGAATCCATTTCAGTTGAAAAATGTCATTTATTACAAATTGCTACACCTGCGCTGACAATACACAACTATCAAAATCTCAATTAAGTTTAAAAAAAGTCATTTATTATATTAGCACAACAATGCCATGAAAAAATATACAAATACCAACTTCAGTTGGCAAAAACTTAACTTCCTGCTAACCTCTACAAGTCACTATAGACAAAGATCAATGAGGGGTTTAACAACTTAATTTATTACAGATTACTACAAGCTTACAGCCCATCTAGAAATACAAAAATATCAGTGTCTCCCTCTAAATAATCCTGTACTAAGAATTCGATCGATAGAATTATACAACTCTACCATTTTATACATGTTTAAATAGAATTAAATACCTCTACAAATACGTCTATAACAATCTACATATGGAAATACAGATTAAATATTACATATTTCATACAGTATATATACATATAGATATATAAAACAAAACTATTGGAAAAGATACAAATGTCACTGTACCAATCTCAATATCCATACAACTGCATCGGTACATACACATGTAAATATTCACTTAATTATCCCTGTCTGTGTGCAAGGCCATCCATCTCTAAACAGAGCTATAATCAGAGGGATCCCAGCCGCCCCATCTTCAAAGCTTCTCCCTCGGTCTTTTCCTGCCATGCAGAGCAGCTCTCCTGGACAGGGACAGCAGATGGGACATCTGGGAGGCAAAGGGAACGGCGAGTCAGTGCTGGGACCTTTCCCTTGGCAGCAGCTGCACTTCCAGCAGGGAAGCGAAAATCTCCGAGCCTCCCCAGGAGGGTTGGCAAGAACAAGCAGGCCGAGCGGGCCAGCGTGTGGCGAGTGCAGGCGCGGCGGGACTGTCCCGCAGCCCCCGGCAGCCCGGCACAGCTCCCGGGCCCTGCCGGCACAGCTGCCTTGCCCAAGGACAGCCCCTGTGCCGGCCGGGGCAGCAGCGCTGAGCAGCCCCAGCACGGGCAGGGGCCGCTCCTGCCCGGCCGGGCAGCGCCCACGGCCAAAGCCCACGCCACCCTCAGCCCTGCCCGGCCTCACCAGCCCTGGGGCCTCACCCAGGCTCTCGCGTGGCCCCAGCACATCCCTGCTCACTGCTCTTGCTCCAGGCCTTCAGCTTCTCCCTGCTGGCTCCTCTCAGTATCTGGCTCTCCTCAAGCTCTTCAGGACAGCTGTGGTGGCAAAAGTGGAGGCTCTGCAATTGGTTGCAAGGCCTGGCAGAGCTGCAGTCCCTGAGCTCTGTGTGCTCCCTCCTGGCCCCCTCCATCCCCTCAGCCCCGCCGTCCTCTCGGCAAAGCCCCAGCCCCCTCTTCAGTTTCTTGGGCCTCTCCCAGGCCTCTCCCCCCGCTCAGTCCCTTCTGAGCCGTTGTGTCCCCTCAGAGCCGGCACAGCCCTCAGCCCGTGCCTCTGTCACCTCCGTGCCACCATGGCCCTCTGCTCCCCCACAGCCCTCAGTGCCCCTCACACCTCAAGGTTTGCAAGGTCCCTTCAGCATCAGCGCCTCCTCAGCCCCCTCAGTCTCAGCGTCCTTCAGCAGCTCCTCACAGGACAGTGCCTGGGGCCAGCGGCAGCTCCCACTGCTCCAGGGACAGCCAGGGCTGCAACTGCTGCTCCGCCTGG